ACTCTCTCTCTCTCTCTCTCTCTATATATATATATATATATCTCTATTTCTCATTTTCTCTTTTTGTGTCTGAAAGTGTGGATTGAACCCAACATAGTTTAAAGATGAAGGAGAGCGGTGATGGATTTGTTAGAGCAGATCAGATAGATCTGAAGAACCTTGATGAACAGTTAGAGAGGCATCTGAGTAGGGCATGGACTATGGAGAAGAATGGGAATAGGAGAGTGAGAGAGGATTGGGAGATTGATCCTAGCAAATTGGTTGTAAGGAATGTGCTTGCTCGAGGAACTTTTGGTACTGTTCATCGTGGGGTTTATGATGGGCAGGATGTTGCAGGTATTCGGTTGTCCCTTCTCTCTATGCCTTTCATGATTCTCTCTCTATATGTCTCTCTTATTTCTGTTGATTTCTCTTTTTGGGTTTTTGGGCTTCTTGGTGTGCATGGAGCGTTTCCTTGCGTAATTCTTTATTTGGCTTGTGTATTGCTCTGGTTCTGATTTTTTGGGTCTATTCTTTCTCCTTCGCTGTTTCTTTTTTATCTTTCATTTTTAAAAATTTTGTGGCTTTGTGTGTGGGTCACTTCTAGATCTAGGTCTGGTTTATTGGTTCTGCAACTAATTTTGATATGCAAGTTTTACAGGTCTTTCGGTTTTTTTGTTGGTGAATAGAACATATCATTTTATTGATTTAGGTTTATGCATGTTTTTGTGTGTCGGCATTGACTCTAAAAACGTATTGAAAAATGAAAATTTTAGGTTGTTTGCTTCATGATAGTAACTTAATGGGTTTTTGTGTTGGGTTTGGCAATTATCAAAAAAAAAAAAAAGTTCTGATAAAGGTACTTGTGACAAAAAGCCAAAAGGCCATGAGGAAGCAATTTAAACTTTTAACCTCTCTTTCTAGATCTAATGTGGTCTTCTATGTGTTTTTGGGATCTCCATTAAAAATCATGTCTTGACTGTGGCATCATGGTTTTATATGGTTTCTTGGTTTGTCCAACGGAAAATTATGTTTCTGGACTATATGGTATTGAAGCTTTGGCATTTCGTGTGGGGCTGTTAATTTAGTGGTTTGATTTTTTTTAATGGAACTCAGACTTTAGTTTTTCTGATTCAGATTTCCAAAAAGAACTTGACAATCTCGTTCTAAGGGGTTCTGAGCTACCATTTCCGATATTGGGTTTTGGTTTAGTGTTACTAATTTGAAGATCATGTTTGAAGTTTGACATTATTCAAACCTAGGTTCCTATTTCTTCTTTCATGGGGCGACCTGAAAACTATGTAAAAAATTACCATATTATAGACTTTTTTAGGTCAGATTCACGACTAATGGGACTGAATGGGAGGTTAACTTGGAAATTAGCTGTAAAAAATACAAAAGAATTATGAAAATTTCTTTGGCGTCCTTTTGTAATCATATTTGATCTTAGTAGTAAGTCTGTGAGTTTGGTATTTCTGTGAGTTTGGTATTTGTGGGTGCTTGCTTGAAGATGATGCTCTGTCAAAGATTGCTTGCCATTAAGTGAAACTCTTTAATATAAACTTGTTGGTTATTGTTTTTGTGTAATCAAATCTTCAAGAAATTTTGAACAAACCAGACAGGGCAAGGACATTGAAAGTTTTTTCTATTTTGGTTAGGACATTAGGAAATCGACTATTGGAATTCTGTATGAGATTTGTATTATTCTCAATTTTTTCTACCTCTGGTCCTGAGCTGTGGTTTATACTTGAAAAAGTAGATATTGTAGATTTGATAACTGTGTGTACAGGCTGTTGAACAATTGAATTTGCAATTTATGTTTAATGCCTCTATGAAGTCTCTGATAGGATGCCACTCAAACATGATATATTTGATAGGATGGCACTCAAACATGATATGTTTTTACTTCTATTTTTTGATCCTTAACTATTTTCTCGTTCATTGAATGTATCGAGTCATACAAGAGACGTATAGTTGCCTCGAAAGGCTTTTACAAAATCGAATTTGAAATTCCAAAGGAGAAAAGGTTTGTTTGTGTGTAGCTGCACAGACATCGAACAAACTTGACTAGAAAAATCATAGACAAAGGTAAGAGTTATTTCACTCGCCTGTGGTTATTGTTAGTGCCACTTTCTAGGTTCCTTCTCTTGCCAAAGCATCTACCTGAGCATTGGATTCTTGCCATACATGTTTGAAGGAGACTGTTATTCTTGACATTATCTCATTAATTTCTGAAAATATTCCATCTAATTCCCATGGGAAGCCCTCCCCAGCCTGCCCCTATGAAATGGTATTCCTGTAATGTTTTCACCAAAGCGGGGCCCCAGGATGGGTGGAACAATTTTAATCCCTGCAGTGAGGCACAAACTTCGGACGCCGTGGATTCTTTGTTGCCAACAGGTATCGAAAAAGCTAGAAGCTCTTCTCCTCTTCTGTCTCTAAATACAGATTGCCCATATTGCGGCCACTAAATTCAGCTTCACAGTACGTGGTGGTGTTGGATTCAAAGCTCTGAAAACCTAAGAAAATTATGAAGTTATTCTAGTGGTTGGGTATGAGTGCTTCTTTTATGCTAGATTTAGCTTCAAATACTCAAATTCCATAGTTTCGCAAACCACTTCCTCTGATTGTGATTCTTGCCTTTAGGGAATATGGGCATGGGAAGGGAGAGTCTGTCGATTGGTGGATAAGCTTGATAATTGTCAAAATACTGGCCAAAGAGTCTGCCAACTGGCAAGAATGTGTGTTTGCAGAATCTCCAAAAGGCCATAGCTGAGGTGGGTCACGGCAAAGCTCCCAGGCCTGATGGCTTCCCCATCTCTCTCTGTGACCCGGGGAAATTCTTACCCCAGAAGTCTTGGCTATGTTAGATGAATTCCGCCACAGAGTCATCATCCAGAGGGTCATGAACTCCACATTATTGCTGTAATTTCTAAGCTTGAAAGAGCCAAAAGGCTGAGGGATTCAGGCCTATTAGTCTCATAAAAGCAAGTATAAGATTTTTGCCAAAATTAGAGCTTCCCACCAGCCAATATACTCAATCAAAGCTATATCCCCTCTTGCGAGGTGCATTTGCTCAAGGGATGTGAATCCTCGACAGGGCTTTTATTCCTCATGAGTTTATCCAGGCTAGACATCTCACTAGTAAGTCAGGCTTAATCCTTAAACTCAGTTTCAAAAATGCCTACAGCCATGTGGACTGGCGGATTGTAGGTCGTGCCATGGCCCTGATGGGATTTGGGCCGAAGTGGCACCCCTGGATCTCAGGATGCATTTCTTTGCAAATTTCTCGATCCTCATCAATGGAAGTCCTTATGACTTCTTCCCCTCTTCCATGGGTCTCCCCCAAGGTGACCCCCTGTCTTCTTCCTTACGTTAAATAAAGCATAATTTTTCACTAGGTCCATTTACAATCAAGCTTCTTTGGCAGCTTCTTCACCTCTCAGGGCAGTCCACCCATATCCCACCTACGGAATGCAGATGGTACCCTGGCCTTTTGGGACACCACTGCACAGAAAGGTGATCTTCTTTGGCTGTTTATCTTTTATTTCGAGTTCACCACATGGGCCAAGTTTATATGTCCAACACCAAGCCTCTGGGGCTTTGTGTCCCAAAAACCAATGTTTGAGCTTTAGCCAAAACAATGGGGTGTGGCATGGACACATTGCTCAGCAAATACCTATGCCTCCCTCCTTGCTTGGTCAAACCTTGAAAGCCCTATGGAAGAGGGTCGTAGAGAGATTCAAACATGGGTTGGAAGCCTGGAAATGCAGGTAGCTGTCTTTGTGGTGCCTGAATAATCCTGGTCAAGGCCAAAACTCCAACAATCACGTCAAATCTACCATCATCTTTCTTTCAGGTCTCACTCCTTGCAGACCTTTGGCCAGAATTGGAGACACATCATTTCGTCGACTCCATTGAAAATCACTGGATCATTGCATTGCACCCTGACACCAAACTCAAATTTTACGGCTGCTCTCTGGGCAACCCCGGTATGGCTGGCATCAGGGTTGTGTTTAGAAACCTCAATGGTGTAAACTTTCACCTGCTTATGTGCTACTCATCAGATTGCTTAGGCAGCTCTGCTGGCTGAGCTTTGGCTGGTTGGTGCTTCATCATCTCAAGGAGGATGTATTTTTGGGTAGTTTCTTAAGGAGGATGCTTAGGTGCAGAGTTGTCAATTTTACTACTAGGAGCAACACTTGATGGGATTATGATTTATGTGTATCCTGCCCCTGGCACTGCCATATTTTGGTTTTTGGCTAAGTAAGGATATTAGTGTAGGGTCCTTTGCATTTAAATGGTTTTTTTTACTGCAACATTGGATCTCATATTCTTTAAGTCCATCTAGATGTAATTAATGCCCATAGGGCTGCAATTTATTTTGTCAGTAGCATAATATTCTGGCAAACAATAGTATCTGGGCTCTTTGGGCATGCAAAAATAATTGTCGGAATTTCTTTCTAACCAGCCTCCACCATATGGCTTTTCTATGAAGTCACATATTTTAATCTATTTATAAATGTCATATGTTCATTTTTATGACTAATAAAGTTAAATTTCTCAAAAAAAGGAAAATTACAATTGGCTTTGTTTTCAGGCAACATTGATTGAGGCCAATTGGTGTACCATGAAGGCATCTGTTAATGTCAAAGGGCATTTACTTCAACAATCACTAATGACCTTAAACATTGGAAAATAAGGGTCCTTTCCTAATGAGGATCTCCTTAGACACCCCCTTTACTGATACACAACCTCAGAACTCATGAACATCCAAGAGTTGGCCTATTTCTCTTGGGCTTACAAATAAAGAGAAGGGGAAATTTTTTTATGAATTTTTATTTATTCCATTGCAGCATGCATTATTAATCATAAACTTTGTTTAAAAAATTTATGTTAGATCCATTTATCATGGCTTCTTTTGTATGGTTTCGTTATGATCTATAATCGTAATACTATTGCTCAATTTCCCATGAAAATGTTCTTCCAACAGAGCCAAGTAGGACGCCAATTTTGTTGAGAAGCTTTTTTTTAGTTGGATATTGAACCTGTGATCGTATCCTTGTTTTTTGGGCAAGGAATAGAGTTGCTTTAGTTTGGTTAAGCTCATGGGGCATTTTTTTTGTTCCCTCTATTCATAGCACCTTAAGGGGTTCTACAGAGAAACGTTTCTTTTGGAAAAATAAAATAAAAATGATTGATGTATTCTGTAATGAAAGAAAAACTCTTTATTTCACTTAGAGACAAAAGAAGTCTATATTTCCAATAGAGAATTATAGCTGATGACTTATATTTTCTGATTTTTAGTTAAGCTACTAGATTGGGGTGAAGAGGAAAACAGAACAGAGGCTGAGTTAGCATCACTTCGAGCAGCATTTACACAGGAAGTGGCTGTCTGGCACAAGCTTGATCATCCTAACGTAACAAAGGTACTATTGTGTATCCATTCTACTGAGTTGTCTAATAGGATGTATATGTTGAGTGTATTCTTGAACTGATGTCCAAAGTTTTGAGAAGCGCATCCTATGATTTGTGCTCTTCCTTTTTGGAAGGTCATATTGGCCATGCATCATGTTGTAGATTCCCCCACACAATATGCACTAATTGTTGCATGTAAGGAGGGCGGTGTGCTCCATTCATTTACTTTTAAAATCAACTTGCTTAGCATTTTTCCCTCTTCCTAGCAATGGCCTTGGCTATTAGTTGAAGCAACAATGAGATTTAGTGATTTATATCATTGACCTTCTCTTGGACACATTCTAAAGTTTGAGTTGTTTCTTTCATAATAACATTAAGACAATACTATGAACCTGTTTAGGGTTAGCCGTTGCGGTGGGGTATCTTGACTTGGTGGTTAGGGCATTAAGGGGCTATGTCATAATGTCCAAGGATCTATTCCTTGCTGACCTACCTAACAAAAGTATGTTAATGGTTTTCTTCAACAGAGGGTCCATATTTCCATAATACTGAATCATGCCATGTCTTAGGCGAACATTTCCTTCTTTTTTCTAATGCCTCCTGTTCTTATACAGGCAAACCTAATGTCATCTTGTTTCCATCTTCTGTGGCTGACTGGCTGTAATAGTATGGTTCTCATTAGTGGCATTTTGTGCTTGATTCATTAGTACCATATTTGTCTTGAAGGCTTTTATGCTTTCATTTATCATCAGATTTATGCTTCCTCCTTACATTGTTAACATTGCATCCCATTGTAAATATAGGAAAGAGAAGACCTCATGAGGTACCTTTTTCATATTTTAAAATTACCTCATAGTGTCCTTTTTTGTAAAGGTTGCCTTAGGAGGGGTGTATTTGTTACCAGCTCCGATGCAGATGGCACTAGCAAAGCGAACCAAATAGTAGAATAATCACTTTTAAGCTCTTCTCAAACATAGCCTCAGCTTTTTGAAGATTTGTGGTGCTATAGAACATGGGTTTCACCGATAATAATAAAGATATGAACCCTGAAAAATAGGCCTATAGATGCACATGATATTATCTGATTTTGGCTGTTGTGCTAAGATTTGGTGTCTCAACTTTCTGCTGTTATTTATACATAGGGCATTCCATAGTCAGAGGTACCAAAAGTAAGCACATCCACCCACAATTTACAGCTACAGTAAATTGTTAATCTTCTGCCCTGCTTAAAAAAGTGCCTACAGCTGTGGAACTTTTTAGATTCGGTAACTCAACTCTACAAGTGTGTTATCAGGTACCTAGATCAAGACAAACACCTTATGGTCAATTTCATAAAAAAGAATGAGATCATGAAAAATAAATTTGTGCATCATCCAAGGAACTGCGAGTTCTATTAGCCTTATAGTGGACCTCACGTGATCTTCAGATATTTTCCATGAAACTTAACTGTGCCCTGCTCTTTGGGCATGCTTTTTGTCAGCTCTGCCAAAACACAGAGCATGGTCTATTAGCTTTATGCATAATTTTTTCCTTGATAGCATTATATTTTTGACAAAGCAACTTTTTGTATTAAATTGGGAAAAATGTACAACTTGCTGTGTGTCAATGACAAAAATATTGTAGTGTAAGGTTTGCACAAAAATGTTTGATTGACAAAAATGTCCCATTAGGAGTATGCATTCAAAATGCAGGCATCTGATTTAGAGGCCCCTTCTCTGGGAAGGGTTTCCTCGCAAGCATTTGCCTCTCCCTGAGTGCTTGAAAGTGAGTTGTAGAGGTTGGCAAATGTGAAATTTTTTTGTTGAAAATATCCCAGTCTCCAATGGCATCCAAATGAGTTGATCCCAGTTTCAGTCAAGCACTTTGAATCCAACTATAGCAAGGCTTGGGTTGGGCTTCTTCGTAGGTTGCATCTGCTACTCCTATAGGCCATACTATGTTAACAGGGTATCTCTTGAGTGATCCATGAAGATACCCCCCCCAATACCAGCGGAGCCAGGATTGCCACGTGAACTAGTGTAAATTTGAGCTTGATACCTCCAATCTTAGGTGGGATTTCAAACCTACCAACACACCACGTGCTCCCCTCCCCTCCCACACACGCATGGCCCTAAAAAAACCAAAAACAGGAAAAGAATAAAAAAAGAGAACTCCAATCTTAGGTTTGATCCAATGTGCGGATGTAGTAGTTGCATGTTGGGTTGGCCAGATTATATGTATCCAATTTTGGCCGATGACTAGTGAGGAGTAGGAACTAAATTCTTTTTGATTTTGCCCCAGAAGAGACCTTGTTTTCAAATATATATATACACACACACACACACACACATATACTTTTGGGGATGGGGTGGGGTGTGTGGAATAAGAGTGAATAAGGTGCGTGATTGAGGCTAGCATGACCTTAAAAACTAATCTAACAAGTTTAGAATAAAGGTTTGGGAGGCCAATTTGCAATGGTCGAACAGGTGGTTGATGGTCTTCTCTGTTCCTTAGACACGGGGCATCTGTTCGGTCTTGGTATTCCTCTCCTCTGAATATGATATTGGGTTAATGCTTTATTTCAGAGTAGTAGCCAATTGAAAAACCTGCACCTTGGGTGGTGCAAGGGTGAACGATGTCTTTGAGGCTGTGATGGGGCAAGGACTTAAGGATTGAGAGCTTTTGTCGAAAGAGAAAACAGTGACAATACCTGAGGATGGAAACCAGACGAATTTGTCTCGGCTGGAACAAAGTAAAAAGTGTTGTTTTAGGCTTCCAGCATTGACTCCAATGCTGAAATTTCAGTGTCCTCGGTCTAAGTTACGTGTGACAATAGGCAGCCAGACTGTTCCAATATGTTGAAATTTTTGGATGCAGAAATACAAATTTACCATCAACATTTCAAAAACTATTAAAAAAAAGGCAGCCACAGTGTTTGATGCCCCAATAGTTCGTAGCAGTCCGAGACCTTTGCATCCTGGTCTATCCAGTGGATCTGGTTAGGGAAAAGCTAGCTCCAGTCATAGCGACCCATCCAAAGGTCCTTCCAATATCTTATATACCTACTAGTTTCAACTGCCTTGAGTACGGCTCAATAAATACAGGAAGGTGCAAGATGCATTTCCAAGCTCCCAAGGCTCGAGAGCTGGATGCACCTCTAAGTAGCCATCCAGAGGCCTTGGATGCATCTGTACTCAGTCACCTGTTACCGGAGATGGTCTTTTTCAATGGCATACCTCCACCGCCATTTGCCGAAGAGGGCCTTATTGCAGTCTCTTCATTTTCTGACCTTCCCTTCCTGCCTGTTTTTTGGGCTTGCATGTAGTTTCCCATCTCACTAGATGGATTTTAGGAGCATTGCAATCTCCACTCCATAGGAACTCCCTCATAAGTTGTTCTAGGATTCTAACTTGTGCTCAAAGGAAGCAGGCATCCTGGAGACCGACATCAAGAAGAGAGGGATGTTTGAAAGGGTAGTATTGATAAGGTGATCCTGCCACTGAAGGACAGAAACCTACATTTCCAAGCCGCTAGCTGACATTCAAATCTCTTGAAGACCCAATTCCATGGGGCTTTCCTATGTTTTCCCACGCTCAGCGGGAGGCCCAGGTATTTGCGGGGTAATGTGTCCAGACCAGAGCCATAGGTTGTCCATTTGTTGACTATGGGAATCACAAAAGACAAGGGGGTCATTTGTGTACAGGAGGTGGGAGATAGATTGCCCTATCGTAGTAGGGGAGCAAGTGAGGGTGTTCTGGCTTTATAGAATATAAATTTATTATGGAACTGGTAATTCTTAATGCTATATAGCAAAAAGGAAGGGGCATAAGGGGTCTCCTCTGCATAGGCCCTTTGAAGGAGGAAAAAGGTCGTAAGAACTTCTGTTGAGGAGTATGGAAAATTTTCCAGAGAAAATGCATCCTGAGATCCATGACTTCCATTTCAAGTGAAATCCCATCAGGGCCATGAATTGGTCTAGGATCCATGATTGTAGGCCTTGGCAAAATCTAGCTCTACGATTAAGCCTGGTCTATTGGGTTGCATGGGAGAAGTGACAGATAGAGGAGGATGATTCGTAGGGGTTGTTGGATCAAGACTGTTGTTGGATAAAACCTGTGGGATCAGGGAAGTGCTGGGCTGGATGACTCTGTTTGTATGCGAGGTAGTGCCCACAGTCCCACATGCGGGGAACAAGTCAGCGAGTGGTCGAGAAAAGTCCATTAGTGTGGGTGCATGTGGACGATCCAGCAGTTCATATTGAGTGAGTCTCACAGGGCGATGTGGAAGGTGGAGATGTCTTGGGTGTGGTGTGGATTGAGTGGAGGAACATGTACTCATCTTGATCGTCCATATTAAGGTGGAGATGAGCTGGGTTGGGGTAGAGGAATGGTCGGAATGCATCCGGGCCTTTGGATTGATGCGGGGAGTACGGGGACCAGATATCAGGGTGGGGCCTAATTGAATTTGAACTTGAAATTGAAATTGAATTTGAATTTGGGTCAGTAGATGGAGATCGATGTACCAGGTACAGTTGGAGGGATAGTGTGGATGATAGGCATTAGGGGTGGCAATGGACTTGGGACCCAACGACTGGAACCGACCCGACCTGGGTCCGTGTACAAATCTTGGACCCAAACACTATTTAGGTTTGGGTCCGGGTAGACCTGACCCGAATAGTGTTGATATTTAATATTAAATAATACGTTAATAATATTTAAATAAATATAACTATATATTTATTTAAATATTATAACTATATATTTTTAGTTATAATATTATTTAAATGTATATACATATTTAACATAAAATAAATGTTAAATATATTTTTTTATATTTTTGGGTTGGGTCCAATCAGGTCTGGTCGGGTCCAGGTCCGGGTCCGGGTTTGCTATGCAAAGAATCTCCCCTTGCTAACATTGTTTGTTTCTCCTTGATCTATTGTCATGTTGAAAGTGAAATAAGCTTCTGAAGGTCTCGGGATGCAAGCTCTATTGTTTTCATCATGAGGAAAACAATGCATTGATATAACTATCACAAAAGAGTACTAGTTCTATATACCTACCTTAGGATTACTAAATATTATGGCCTGACCTCCTTTGAATTCCTTTGCAGTTTATAGGGGCTACAATGGGCGGTTCAGAACTAAAAATACAATCAGAAGACGGTGAGTTCGGCATGCCAAGCAATGTATGTTGTGTGGTGGTTGAATATCTTCAAGGAGGTGCACTGAAGTCCTATCTAATTAAAAATCGGCGAAGGAAGTTGGCTTTCAAAGTTGTTGTCCAATTGGCTCTGGATCTTGCACGAGGGTGTGTTTTTCCACCCCCTATGTTAATAGTTTCCTTATGAAGCCTTGTCACCTTTTGTGAACTGAATGAATAATCATTTTTTATAATTCATTTCTACTACCGGCTTGGTCATTGCATTTTGAAAGCATTGAATTTTCTTTTTGTGCAGGCTGAGTTACCTTCATTCTAAGAAGATTGTACATAGAGATGTGAAAACAGAAAACATGCTTTTGGATAAGTCACGCACTGTTAAAATTGCTGATTTTGGGGTTGCTCGTGTTGAGGCGCAAAACCCAAATGACATGACTGGTGAGACAGGAACCCTTGGTTACATGGCGCCTGAGGTATATTATTCACTTTTGGCTACCTTCAAATTAGAAATAAATTAGCAAGGGTAAAGCATTTTTATGTTTGTTCCCTATCCAATTTTTACTGGACTTTCTCGATGAAAGTAGCCCTGAAGTAACCTGTAGGATGGCTCTCAATTTTATTTTTATTTTTATAATTGCATCACTTTTTGACCCTTATCAGCTGACACTTTGTATTTACCAAAATGCAACATTTGTTTCCTTGTATAACATTATACTTGCATGAAAACTTGGACTTCGCTGACCTTTTTCACCAACTGTTATTTCTCTATGATGTATTATGGGCGAGTAGAATTTGATTAATGCATTGTTTCTGCTCAATGAAGCTAAACTTTGTCTATATGAGGTCATTTTATGTATGAATTGTTTGGGGAATCTTGTGTCTAAGCAAGACCCTTTTTCTTTGTGCACATGTATACAAATGGGAGGCTGGGTGGGGGAAGGGCATAGAGAGAGAGAGAATCATAGACGTGAATGATAACACATTCCATGTTATATTTGTGACCTTGTAATGCTAGGAGCTCCTCCTGTGGGCACTTAAGCACATTTAAAGCAACTCCTTCCATGTTAGATTTATTACCTTGTAATGCTGGGAGCTCATCTCGCACTCAATATAGCAACCCCTTGATGATTAAGAGAAGCAGAAACAAGGTGCCAAAAATTGTATAGCTTATTCTGATAATTAAAATGTCTACTGTAGCCACAAACTCAAGATAATACTGAAGGTTTGCAGCTTTGAGTATATGCATCCCTCATCTGCCCATTGAACCGTCTCATCATGTTTGAGTCACCCTCATTACTACAGTCAATGTTTATTTTTTCTTTAGTTGCACTTGCACGTATTCAAGTTTAGTTCTAGGCATTTTCACAATTGGAAAAACTTATTCTATATGATAACATATATCAAAACCTTGGCCAACTATTGTTCTAAAAATTCCCTAAGAGGCCCCAAAAGAACATTTGAGTGGAATGTTGAAACAACACATTTGATACCTTATCAGAGTGGGGATAAACAAATAGCATAGCATCCTTTGCCTTCTTTAGATAGTTTTCCTTTTCCTGGTGCTCTCCTTTTAGCTGACTCTTTCCTCTTCTTTACTTTTGCCATGCCTCTGCATATCTTTAATTCTTTTAGCGACAAATTTGTTATAATAATCATTTGATGCTGGGAACACAGGTCCTTAATGGCAATCCATACAATAGAAAATGTGATGTGTACAGTTTTGGCATCTGCTTATGGGAGATTTACTGTTGTGATATGCCCTATCCCGACCTCAGTTTTTCAGAGGTTACCTCTGCGGTTGTACGACAGGTATTGAGAAAACTCATGCCATTTCCTCAGTTTATTGAAGAGCCTTAATTGCACTTCATAAAAACAAGAGTTTTGGTCAAACATATGAAATTTGGGGCATAGATTGATCAAAATGAGGTGCACTCAATAAAAATATTAGACAACTTCAAATAGAAAAAAGAGTAATGATCCTATGAGACCCTCTCACACCCATCTGTGTAGGACCCCAAAGGATCACCATTAAATTTGGCACAAATCTCTAGAAAAGTCAAGTCCCACACCCATGTGGCAACTTTATGTGATAACTTTTTTAGAGATCTGTGCCAAATTTAATGGTGATCCTTTGGGATCCTATACACATGGGTGTGGGAGGGTCTCATAGGATTACTTTAGAAAAAAATGACCAAACTGCTTCTTGAACGTTTAGCGATATTTTGGTCAATAATTATTTTTTAATATTTGTATTGGGCGCACCTTATTTTGATTAGTCTACACGCTAATTTTTTTGTGGATTGAATTTGTTAAAAAAAAAAAAGATCAAAGAAATACAATGTCAGCCGTTCAACAACCCAGATTCATACTAGGCTGTTGGGTGTACTTTCTCTTGTATGTGTGTGGGTTCAAGAGGGATTTCCTGTACATGTATGGGGTCATTCTAGGGTACACTGTACTAATAGTGAACTTGGAATTTACTACAAAACTTTTGATCATAGAATGCCGTTATATATTTAAAAATGACTTTTTACTCTCAATGGTTCATGTATTTAAGGAAGGGTATTTTGGTCCTTTCAAAATCTCGAAAACTCAATTTCAAATTGAAAAAGATTCTTTAAACTTTTTTAATAATGATTGAAATTTTAGAAGCATTTTAAAATTACACTTGTTTTTCAAAATTTTCAAAATTTGTTAATGTAATTTTTATATTTTCAAGGGCATTTTGTTGTCAAAAATTTTGGAATAGGAAAATTTAAATCCACCATTAATATGATGTATCTTATTGTGTATATATATATATATATAGGAAGAGACTACAAAATGCCTATGAGCGAAAATGAACAGTATTTTTCCCCAAAGGCTTGACGCCGTTCGATTTTTTTGGACGGCGTGGATTAAAGACCGTCACGAATATAGCATGTCTGTGATGAGGGCAAAACACTGCAACAATTTGCCTATAGGCATTTTTAAGATATATAAAGAAATACGATGTCAGCCGTTCAACAACCTAGATTCATACTAGGCTTATGGGTGTACTTTCTCTTGTATGTGAGTGGGCATTCAAGAGGCATTTCTTGTACATGTATAGGGTCATTCTAGGATGCACTGTACCAGCAGTGAACTTGGAATTTACTACAAAACTTTTGATCATAGAATGCCATTATATATTTAAAAATGACTTTTTACTCTCAATGGTTCATGTATTAGGAAGGGTATTTTGATCCTTTCAAAATCTCTCGAAAACTCAATTTCAAATTTAAAAAGATTCTTTTAACTTTTTGAATAATGATTGAAATTTGAGAAGCATTTTAAAATTACACATGCTTTTCAAAATTTTCAAACATTGTTAATGTAATTTTTATATTTTCAAGGGCATTTTGTTGTCAAAATATTTGGAATAGGAAAAATTTAAATTTACCATTAATATGATGTATCTTAGAATAACCTATATATATATATATATATATATATACACACACACACGAAGAGACTAACAAACACTATAGTAGAATACGAACAATTA